AAAAATAACAACACTTTGTCAGGACCATGAGGCGATCATTCCTACCAACTTTCAGTTCAATCGGTCCAGCAGAACTTGACTTTAAGTTTGAAATAGGTTTTCAAAATGGCGGCCGTGGCGGCCATATTGGATTTCTGATCGACCCGAAAAATAACAACACTTTGTCAGGACCATGAGGCGATCATTCCTACCAACTTTCAGTTCAATCGGTCCAGCAGAACTTGACTTTAAGTTTGAAATAGGTTTTCAAAATGGCGGCCGTGGCGGCCATATTGGATTTCTGATCGACCCGAAAAATAACAACACTTTGTCAGGACCATGAGGCGATCATTCCTATCAACTTTCAGTTCAATCGGCCCAGCAGAACTTGACTTTAAGTTTGAAATGTAAAATGTTAACGGACGACGGACGACGGACGACGGACGACGGACGACGTACGACGTACGACGGACGACGGACGACGACGGACGAAAACGGATAGCAATAGGTCACTTGAGCTAAAGCTCAGGTGACCTAAAAATTGGTAGGGGGTGGGGGGGACAAAGTAAAAATCCATAAGTTCAAATTTAAGTTGAATGTTATGTTCAATTAGATATTTTGGAACCAACTTCATATCTTTCCGATTGAAAAAGAAGCAGCTTTTGAAATAAGAATTGTTTTCATTTGTGCTCAAGGAGCCCTCTGCATAAAAGCCATTTTGGTCTCTGTGGAGTATAACATATAGATAGATGTTAATTAAAACCAGCATCAAAAGCTGTGGAGAGGATGGTCTATTTCTTCTGTTTGATAAACATGATTTCCGATCTACATCAAGTCCTATCAAAACAGACATATACAATGACACATCAATCCATTTTTCATTTTACAGCACCGTTTAAATCCTTGTTACTACTGTATGCCCCGATATGTCAACACAGAGCTGGGCTTTGAATTAAAACACTACATGACTGCCAGTGACACTACACTCCACAGCTATTTCCATCTTAACTAAATCAATTTAACCTTGAAACTTTACTTAGGTGTGTCCAAATATTTTATCAGATTTTTACATTAAATTCTTACATTGGCAAATGTTGAATTTATTTTAATATTTCCTGTAATCCTCAAATTTTACCAACATTGGTAAAACGATGTGCATAACGAAAGACTCTGTTTTCCATTTGCACGACCACTTAGTTTAATGAATGGGCATGTACTTATGATGGACATACAAGAGGATATATTTACAAACAAAGCACTTGTGAAGCTAATTGAAGCTTTCCTTTACCACACAACACAGCTGTGTATAACACCAGCCTGCAGAGAGCCCCTCACTTAAAACTGGCTGACACACGATTCTTCACTCAATAAATATCCATGGTATGTCGAAAGTCATACCTATTTCATATTTGACCTGAACATTTTGTATATTTGAACAACCATATTTACTGATCTTCAAGATCTTCAGAAATGGAAGTAGGAAATTGAAGGTCATTATAATCAAATTGAAGGTCAAGTAATTGTAATTAAATGACCAATAGCTATATATTGACAAGAAAAACAACAAAATACATGTACAGTAGATGTTAAAAGGACCACGTACATAACATGGTGCTGGACATATCACAACAAGATCAACCCTGTTGTGTTTCCCCAAAAATAGCCCAACAAATTGTTCAACAAGTCAATGAACAGCACTAAGCTTTCATAGTATGGAGTTCATAGATGTCTCAACTGTGGACCACACAATCTCTTTTTTACAGTAGAACCTCAATAACCCCCTCATTTCATTTGCCACCTCGTTTACTGCCTAAATATTTTAATGTACCTTTTTTTCCATGTTTGCTTTAAGAATTCCTTTATATATTTCCTTCACTTAATTGCAAAACCGATTTATAACGCCAACATTTCTCAGTGAAAATTGTGGCTACATAACAAGGTTTCACTATACACATATATCCTCATAAACATCAGCAATTCTATGAATGTGTAACTTACTGTAGACCTATATACCCCCGACATCTTTAAATATAAAACATGAAGCTTCAGTGTGTAAATTTTTCAATGGGACAGGGATCCTTAATTGACACTGATGGTTTTATGCCCCTTATGCTTGGTTCTATGGAAGGAATCCCTAGGTCATTTTACAGGGATCTTACGATGACATAGTGTATCTCCCTTGGAGAGACGTTTCTGTTTTACAGGTATCCTATATGATGACAGTTATCTCCCTTGGAGAGATGTTTCTGTTTTACAGGTATCCTATATGATGACAGTGTATCTCCCTTGGAGAGATGTTTCTGTTTTACAGGGATCCTATGATGACATAGTGTATCTCCCTTGGAGAGACGTTTCTGTTTTACAGGTATCCTATATGATGACAGTGTATCTCCCTTGGAGAGATGTTTCTGTTTTACAGGTATCCTATAATGACATACATAGTGTATCTCCCTTGGAGAGACGTTTCTGTTTTACAGGGATCCTATGATGACATAGTGTATCTCCCTTGGAGAGATGTAACAGGGATCCTATGATGACATAGTGTATCCCCCTTGGAGAGATGTTTCTGTTTTACAGGGATCCTATGATGACAAAGTGTATCTCCCTTGGAGAAAAGTTTCTGTTTTACAGGGATCCTATGTTGACATACATAGTGTACCTCCCTTGAAAAGATGTTTTGGAAATAGTTGAAGGATTACATTCCAGCCTTACAGTTACAACTCCCTAATACTTATGTCTTTGGTAGCAACTTTTTATCAAATGATGTCAATCCTCCACTGGGGTCGATCATTGTGTTTATAGCACTGTAATCTCTACCACAGAATGATTTAGCTTCTGAAGCCTTACACGAGGCAAGTACTGACCAACTTTTTATGTCATTGATTTACAGAAGACAGATACCGTGCATACCAGTAGTAACACAGAAGGACATTGGGGTATTGATCCCCCACATAGCCACTTATACTATGTCCCCCACACATCAATACCTTA